ATCCCCGTGATGGCTAGCTCATTAGCTTTCTGCTGGAAAAAACGGTAAGAAAATCGATAAATCTGTCATAGAGTTATGTAAACATTTATCGGAGGTGACGTGTGGCATCGTCGACGATGCCCTTACAAAAATAACCTACAGGAATCCTGCAGGATTTTCATTTTTTCTACAGGAATCCTGCAGGAATTATAAAATCATGCAGGATTTTTCTCTTGTGTTGCACTGCTGTCCTGCAGGAAGTTTAAAATCCTGCAGGATTTTATAAAAAAATCTGCAGGAATTATAAAATCCTGCAGGATTTTTCTCTTGTGCTGTACTGCTGTCCTGCAGGAATTATAAAATCCTGCAGGATTTTTCTCTTGTTGCACTGCTGTCCTGCAGGAAGTTTAAAATCCTGCAGGATTTTATAAAAAATCTGCAGGAATTATAAAATCCTGCAGGATTTTTCTCTTGATTTAAATAAATAAATAAATAAATAAATTCACTGTGTTGGATGTTCCTGCATGTTTCTGTTGTAATAGAGCTCATTCTAATTAGGAATGTCATGTACGTACTACTGCTGTGCAACACAAGTGAAAAATCCTGCAGGATTTTATCATTCCTGCAGAAACTAAATGTTTTCTTATAGGAGTTTTCTTTTACAGGTTTTGGATTCAGGATAAGCTATATAATGTCTAGACTAGAGAAAAAAATGTAGTTTTATTCATACATGTTCTGTAGTTTTATTCATACATTTTTCATTTAATTAGATTCAAGTACATTTCATTGAACTATTTTGATATATCATGTTCTGTTGGCAGCAATAGAAACATTGAGTCTTAAAAAAATAAATGAATACAATTAAGAGTAAGAATAGGCAAAAAAATAGTTAACCATTACTCTAAATCATTTCAAAATTATGCATTTATGCAAACATCATAGACATTTCAGGATTCAAGAGATATAAATCTGTGTACTGTACACTTTTAAATTTTTAGGATCCAAACCAGCAATTTAATTTTAATCCAACTCCCATCTATTTGGTTGGATGCAAAAAAAATTATTTGCAAGACCTGGCAGGTCCTTGAGATAGACACAGGTTGAATGTATGTCTGTGCATTTGATCAGTTCAACTGAGTCTATCCCTCTTTCTTTTAAAATGCTTGTTGCTGTTACCCCTGACTCTCTGTCTTTGCTGATGTCATTACTTGTTGTTTTCATAACATCAATGAAGGCATGACCCTCTCCTTGCGCATTACCTACATCTATGAATGATCGTATTAATGCTACAGACCCGTGTTTGGTTTGAACTGCATGGTTGATTCTTTTAGATAAAGATTTTGCTCCTTTTGAATGAATTCGCTTGCCATTCACCACAGCCCTAGAATAAAAACTGAAAGCTTTATGTGCACTAAAACCTGACTCTTGAAGGAGATAAGACTCTCTTGGGGTTGGCTGTCGTACATGTGGGCATCCAAGAAACATCACGCTAGAACTACCAGTACACTTTGTCACAATCTTGGTGCCTCCCAACATTTTTTCAACAAAGCTTTTGCTGTGCTGTGTTTGTTCATCGTTAAATACAGCAGCAATGAGTCGTGGAACATGCTGGTAAAGGTTAAACATGTTAACAATTTGCTCTGCTACAGCTTGTGTGCCATGAAAGAGTTTCTGAAGGTGTCCATTGTGGGACTCGTATAAGAATGCACTGTGACTCCATAAAGGACCCCAATTTTTTACAGATGCTGCTGCATGTACAAGTATGTGGACATTATAAGACACATGACACTTTCCATACAGAGACTCAAAACGGCCCACGAATGATTTTAAAAGGTCATCAGCTTTGTCAATGTAATGAGGGGGGATTGAATCTTGAAGGAGAATGGATGTGGCCTGTACTAGAAGTAGTAAATGGTCAAGATATTTTCTGGGTAAAATGCCGAACAAACAGGGAAGGCTGTAAAATAAGAGAAAGTGTCTGTATTCCGAAGCTTTCCAATATTTCCGCAAAGAAATTGAACGGGGTGGTCTTGTTATACTTGCAGGTGGTTTAATGGCAAGTAACCTTCTTTCAATTTGCTCGACTTCTCTTCCAATGTACCAAGACTCTGTATGGTATTTGGAGTCAAACCATAGGGTAGTCAGCTGGCGACAAACACCAAGTAATATGCCATGCATGTAATCATATGCAAATCCAGTAACCATGTTAAAAAACATCAGCAGCATTAGAGGAGATGGACCTTCTACACCATTTATGCATGTTTCTGAATCAACAGCTTGCTGAGCGTCTTTAGTGTGTTTTTTGTGTGATCTCAGCTCTGGCTCCGTTGACTGCAAAGGATACACCCTTGTAAACCCATTACCCTTTTCTACAACTTCACCCTTTTGATAACACCAGTTACAACCATGCTCTCCATTAAATTGCTTGACATTCTGTACAGCACAACGAGCCACTGAATCACAAATGCAAAGCAAACTGTAAACATGGACTACTGATTTTTCACCTTTCCACTGACAAGGCAACCCTTGGTTTTCAAGACTTCGCAATTCATTAACAAATGATTGCAGAAACGAGTTCATTTCTGGCTTTCTTGGCCCAAACCACAAACCACCAAGAATGACATGCTTTGCCCTCAGATTAGGGGGGAGCTCGTTGATTGTAACTTGAAGTGGCCAGACATGAAAAGGAGAAGATTTGAAAATTGGAACACCATCAACATTCCATGATATTGAAATATTCGCCAAATCTGGGTCATTTAGTGCATCGATAGATTTGTACATAGTGCCATCGAATATGTCTTCAACGTTTTGTGAGTTACGCTTTGTTCTTGTCCATTTGTAATTCAAAGACTGACAAAATTCTGTATTCTGAAATTTACCTCTTAATTGATCTGCAATAGATAACTTGATAAAAACAGAGCCTGTTTTGATTAGGTTTTCCACGTCACCTGGGGCACCATTGCATGAAGCACAGTTGGTGGGGATTTCATTACCAAAGAAATATTGGCAGGATGGGCAAATATACTGGACTTCAAAAGTGTCACAGTGAAAGGATTTCATAAACTTGTATAGGCTATCTGGAACGCCATTGGTTGAATCAGGACAGTGGAGATTGATAAGATCTAATAAGTCACTCAAAGCCACTTTGGATGTCGTATGCCTGAGGCTGTAGGCAAGTATAGAAAGAAGAGATTCTCCATTAGTGATTTTGGCATTTGGATATATCTTTTCCTCACTGGCACACCACTCCTCTCTTTCTTCTGCGCTTCCCTCACAAACTGCACTGTGGTTTCTGACAATCTAGAAAGTAAATATTGCACTTATTACAAGCTGACACATAAAGACGTGTGTGCTTTAAAAAAAGTATGAGGCTATAGACTAGATACATATGCTAAATTTTATTCTCACTTGAGTCTGTGGAAAGTTCTCATAAGCTGTGCTAAAAACATCATCTTCTTCATCAGCAGAAAAGCTTTCCTGTCAGAAATTGTGCATTTATTACACATTAAAACAAAGATATGAGCACAATGTATGCAAAAACTGGATAGAAAGAAAAGATCAGAAATTCTGCTCACATCAGCATCTGAAAAGTACCCATCAGCATCGCTGACGACCTCATTCTCCTCATCAGTAGAAACGTTTCCCTGTGAGACATGATGTACAGCTACTTGGATCACTAGTTTTATACATGCACTATACTTTTCAATTTTTATATACTGGCTGAAAAAGTAACAAAGAATAGCCAACCTTATGACACTAAAGAAGCACCATTCTAAAGAAGATTATCTTTTTATAATAACTATTCTTACATGAGCATCAGGGGAGTTCCTGTTAGATTTGCTGATATTGTCACCACTGTCATCATTGGAAATGTTTTCCTATAAGTATGAAATTATAAACATAAAGGAGCTAGTTAGACATGGGTCTTGACTACAACATGGCCATGAATAAATTTATCACTGAAAATGTTTTTAGGCCAACATCAAAACCTGAATTACTTCAACTGTATCAGGAATAAGCCATGTCTTGTATGATCTTCTCTTTTTGGCGCCTGAAGAAGAAGAAAAAGCAGATTTCTTGCTTATTTAATTAATATCAATATGTAATTCTATAATAAGAAAACAATTGCCTAAATTACTGTAATTTGCATATTATTCTGAATTTAGCAACCTATTATATTCTGTGTCCATCGCCTTTTTGTAGCTGCTGGAACAGGTGCCTCTTCATTTAAGTACACTTTATACTCCATTTGCATCCTTCAAAAAGAAACAAGTTAGTGTTATTTCTTTGTAAATATTATAAAGATTTTTTTTGTATTATCCTTATAGGTTAAACCAAATTGTAATATGAGAGAATTTTCTAAAAATGACTACAATAACGAATAGCCTATACAATTAGGGACATTGGATTAATAGATGTTTTTTACAAGGCTAATTTTAAAATAAAATAAAAGTTTTGTCTCGAAAGACTTGTGTTAAAGAATCTGTCTTTCACCCTGAAAAATACGCTCGTAACAAGAAGAACCGGTAAATGAATCTTTCTAGAGATTCGAATCGATCGATTCACTGAGGTGACGTGTTTCATTGAAAACACCGGACGAGACCGTGAGAGTAACATTGTTGTCATGGATACAATCACGTAGCCGATTCATCATCCAACTGTCACTTTGTCTTGAGAAGGTAAGTCCGCCTTTTTTATTATATAATTGTATCGTTATAATGCTTAAAATTACTGTTGTGCTATACATTTCTATATTAATGTGTATTTGTAACACTAAAACGTATGAAAACGGTTTTTTTTCTTCGTTTTTTTCTTTTTGTTGTTGCTTTGATACATTATAGGCTTATAATAATAACGTTAGGCCGCCTATCAAAATATTTTTTAATAAATTACTATAAAAAAATATCTTTATCTGTTCTTAACATATCACATTACTTTGTTTTGTATTTAATCGGTAATAATTGATATTGTACCTTTTGGTTACCAGAAAAGAAGTAAATAATCTGCACCGCACGAGACCGTGAGAGTCGCTGGCTTGCCGTTAAAGGTACATTGTTGCCATGGAGACAATCAGCTGAAGGCACGATGAATGTGAATGATGAGCCTTTAGACTTTTGTACACCTTTGGATTAATATATATTTTATTAATGTATAAATGTATGTATGTTAAATATGGAAGTAAATATGTAGGCCTATGTAACTATATTTATTTATTTATTTATTTAGAAAATGAACAAAACATGGGTTCTGGTGGAATGGAGAGAGGAGCCTCCCACCTATGATATTGTCCCTAGAAAGGACATACTGAAAAAAAAGTTTGAACCTGGAGATGTTGTGGATGTGGTTTATGAAGAGGAAAGTTCCCCAGCCACAGTTATAGATATTGATGGTAAAAGTTCAGTAAACAAGACTCAGTCATAATATAGAAGATATGTATTTCCTACTTGAGTATTTTGTCCCTTTAGAGAGCAAAGAAACCCTCAGGAGGAGGATGTTCCGGCTAGAGGGGAAAAGAAAAAGTCAGCCATGTTTGCAAAATGATGCAAAAAGAGTGGCAAAGAAAAAGAAAACTTACACTCCAACTCAGTCCCCATCTCACTCATCATCTGATCAAGAGCCTCTGGTCAAACATCAAGTAATACATCTTTTAAATACTTAGTTTTGTCATTATGCTTTTTTTGAAAATCACAAATATTAATATTGTGTGTCCATCTTTAGGTCATCCGCAGAAAGAATAGTATTTTAATGCAGGAAATAAACAGCATGGATAGTCAAGTTGGAGAGTCGTCAAGCCGAGAAACTCAACTTGAGAAAGAAATTCTCCAATTAAAAAAAGAAAATGAAAATCTAAGAGCACTCAATATATCTCTGCAACAAGGTATTTTTTCATATATCTGTATTTCTGTTGATATATCAATTTATCTGTCAGTGTGGTTGTCTGTAATCTTTTTTCTTTTCTTTTTTTTTAAGAAATTCTTCCAATGCTCAAGGGTATAACCCGGACCCCTCTTACTGTGTGTCAACAACCACAACCACATGGTTCAAGTGGAGAAATACAAATTTGTCAAATGTTTAATTTAGGTTTCCACTCCAATGGTATAAAAACTGATAAAGTCTCCAGCGAGAGTCTCCTTTCCTGATAGTCCTGTTTTTTGATTGGATTAGCTATAAGGGAGACTTCCACCTTTTGTCTTTAATGGCTCTGGGATGGCTCTTTGGAACCAGAGTTCCTGCCACCATCAGCATTTGAATAGTTATGCTGATTCAATCGGATTGGTAATGGCCTCAGAGTAGGGTGTGTTCCTAATTCATTTGCATGCTTTGTTTCAGTTTCTCCCCCCCTCAATGTAAACTCCTCCCCTCTAAATGTATAAATTGTAAGGGAATATTTTCCCTTAGTGAGACTATCTTAGACTATCTTAGACTATCTTTGAGATGACTACAGCTACGCAATAAAGAACTTCTGCGTGTAAGATACCTCAAGAGTCTCCTGGTCTGTTGCGTGGAAGAAGAAAAACTTCACTACAGATGGTGCCGTGACCCGGATAGAGAAATCTTACCTGAATCAAGAACTGCAACAAAAGATTTCAACAGAGAAATCTTACCTGAGTTCCAGAACAAGATCAACAAAGTGAACTGAGTTCCAGAACAAGAACAAAAAGAACTTTTCTGACTGAGTTCCAGACTGAATCTTTTCATACAAGCAACGATTCGGTGAGTTTCACTCTATTCAAAGAACCAGACCAGTACCAAAGTTGTGCCTCTGCGCCGTCAGAGAAAGAGTTATCAGGCAGCTGTAGTGTTTGATTAACTAAAGTTATCCTTTAAAAGTGGTCTTTTAAAGATGATAGATATCCTCTGTTGTCAGGCAGGGAAGATTGACATTAAATGTTAATATTTTGGGATCCTCTGAATAAGTCAGGGAAGTTGTAAGATATCCTCTGAATGAGTCAGGGAAGTTTTGTTCAACGGAATAGTGCCTCTACGTTGCTAGAGAAGATATCCTCTAAACTTAGGGAAGATTAACATTACGTGTTAATATTGGTGATAACCTCTGTTCGCAGAGAAGGATTAGCATTTTTGTGCTAGTTATTGTGGTCGTATCCTCTAAAAATTTTGGAAGGTGAAAGATCCTTTCCATTTTCTTTCAGGGAAGATTAGCGTAACATGCTAATAGTTTGTGTTGTTTGTTTGTTGTTGTTTTGTGGTGTTACCCTCTAAAAATTTACTTTAGAGATGAAATTTTGAACCTCTGTACAAACAGGGAAGTATTAGCATAAAGTGCTAGTAATGTTGTGGGTTTCCTTTGCTCTGTCAAAGAAGGTTTACAACAGTCGATCTGTGTAAACAAGTGTAGCCTCTGTTGATCAGAGAAAGTTAGTTGTTTTGTGTGATAACAAAGAAACTCACAAAATGGTTGTGACGAATGCTAGGTTGGTTCCTACAACTGAGAAAAGTGGCCTTGCCACTCCATTGTGGTCAGATAGTGAATTTAAGTCATTGTTAGGAGAGCACATGGACTCCATAGTGACTCCGTCAGTCAGATTGAATTTGACAAAGAAATTTGGCATTCACCCAGAAAAAGTATGGTCTATAGATGAGTGTAAAAAAGTGCTAGGAGCAAGTATTCGCAAGAACAATGTGAAAGCTATTATCTGTTGTTACAAAGAATACAGTTTATCCATTGCACAAGAGCAAGCTAGGTGTATTGCTAAGTTAAATGAACAGAACAAACAATTGCAGACTCAATTGTCCTGTTTCAAGACAAAGGTGGGCCATAACCAGGCCTCAGCCAAATGTAACACTGAAGACCAACAGTCAGATGAAACTTTTCCTGACTTACAAGCATTGTTTGAAAGAGATGTAGACATCCCATCAGTAACAGATAAGCATGTAAATTCAGTGAAGGTGTGTGCTGCTAGAAAAAGACAGCAGGGAATTGAACAGTCAGAAAGTGTTCCTTCCAGTGCTTCTGTTGTTCAAATCCAAACTGTTGCTACAACGCTCGGACCTAGAGACATAGAGAGATTGTCCCAGAGTTTACCGCCAGCACGCACACAGTTCACTGAATTTAGAAGAGCATTGGTCAGCAAAATGCGTCTCTACGACATGTCGTTAACAGAAATCACACAGTTAATGTCTCAAATTCTAACTGAATCTGAATTCAACAGTTTTGAGTCTGCTGTTACTTCTGAACTGCAACATGCCAGAAAAGATGAATCAAGAGAAGGTGTTCTGAAAATCCTAAAGAATATCCTAGGACCCAAGATAGATTGGTCTAGAATTACTAACTGTGTACAAAAGAAAGAAGAAACTGTGAATGAATATACTGAGAGGTTTTGTCAGTCAGCTGTAACGTACAGTGGAATAGTGGATGATTCTGAAAGTGTACTCAATGACAAAGGACCGCTGGTCCGTATCTGGTCAGATGGCCTTATAGCTGACTACAGAAGAGCTTTGCCATTTTTGGATCTGACTTGGTCTCACAGAACTCTTAGAAGTAACCTGGACAGGTTAACTGCTTGGGAAAGAGATTTTGATGTTAAGGCAAGAGTACAAATTGCAGCAGCCTCTTTTAAGGTCAGCACCGAAAACCCACAGAAACGTAAATGTCCTAAGAGAGAGGGCAGGTGTTATTACTGTGGTCAGCCGGGACATTGGAGCAGAGAGTGTAGAAAAAGCAGAAAGACTTTTAAAGAAGGCAACCTTTTTGCCCAACTTCTCAGTTTGCTTGCTACTCTGAAGCCGCCATTCCCCACGTCTTTAAACGGGTGGGGCAGCTTGTTGACGTGTTAACCATTTGGACTGTGAGTGCTTAATTTCCCCAGTAACTTGCAACAGAGATAAAAAACTTATGTTTGTTTAACGGAACAAACGGAAAGTGACTGTCTCAGCTTTTCCTTTGGGGGACTGCTTTAAGTAAACTCACAGCCTTAAATGTTATTCTACAGTACAGGCCTTTCATCAGTAATAGTGTTAGGTCAGACTGTAAATGCCCACATGCAGTGTCCGCAATAATGAATGAAGCAAAAGTCAATATTGTCACCTTTTCCCATTGGTGAAATTGGTTTAACTACCCTCACCCATTCTCACGTATGATGTCTACAACGACTGATGTTTTGTTAGAGGATGAAGGAGAAATAACTCATGATTGAGTTTCGCAGATTAAAGTACACATGTCACAGGACAGGTCAAGCCATTAGAGCCTAATTGGCATGTGCCCCAACAAGTAACGTTGATCGGCAGTATTGTGTCAAGAAAGAAAAGAAACTTGGTATCATGTATCACAATGAAAAGTGTTCTGCAAAGTTCTGCCCACTGACAGGGACATAAAAAGGACACGAACCAGTGAGGAACCCAAGGGAAGAACCGAAATGCCATATGCGTCGGGGGTCACCCCTTGGGCGAAGATTCCCTCATAGGCCTTCCCCATCCATTTAGTCCATCCTCACCTCACTGTTTTCTTTAGGTGTCAAGAATTAAGGAATAGGGAAAGAGGGAACAATAGCAGACTCAGTGTTTACTCAGCAGGATACAACCCTTGTCTTTGAAGAAATACTGCTCTCTTGTTTTCTTTTTCCTCTGTGCAGATACCACTTGATGGCTATCCTGAGACCCATACGCACAGACGTCTTCACCTGCGTATGAAGCCACCACTTCCAGAGAACAATGAGACCCACTGCCGAGCCAACTATCACCAAAGTAAAGAAGAAAAAAATACACAACGCAGAGAAAAGACTTACGGAACCTTCAGTCATCCATCAACACTATCAAGATGTAGTAACCACCAGGACATCGCACAAAGTGAATACTCCACAATCCTCGTTTTTGCTGGAAACCTTGCAGGCCACAGCCGAAGATGGCTGCATTGACTCACTTGTGCACAAACATGATGGTTAAACAGTCTTGATCTTTCAGCAAAAATTACACCAGATGTAACTGAAGTTTAAATTTTCCGTAAGAGCTTCACGGACCCTAATTGCATGTTTGTTTTCTGTGTCAGCATGTAATAACAGAAAAAGCAAACACAGAACATGAGTATGTGCCTGTAACTAGCAAAAGTTACAAGAGTGAACTTTTAATTGTTTAAATTTGTATATAGTGTGGGCAGGGGCGAAAATTTCATCAAAATGTTGGGGGGGACAATAAACATAACAATTCTCAAGAGCAAATTTTGAAGGGGACACCAATAATACAGGCAAAAAAATACAGAGGAAAGCCTGTAGAAAGCATGGAGACCATTTCATTATACTTCTTAAAATTTCTTTCTGGTTTAAGCCAGCGGCGAATCTGTTTACATACTCTCCTCACGCAGCGCAGCGATTTCATTTCATTCATTGACTCATTCTTTAACTATATTAAATGATATAAACCAACTAAATCACAGTGAAAGCGTTAGAATCTAAATGCACAGCGCACCCGGACTTTCTCATCAGTGTATGGCCAGCAATATTGTAATGTTTAATGACATGAAGATAGTGTCTGTTATTATTGTACTGTACAATTAAATACAATCGTTGCTGAGTCTGCGGTCTGAAAACTTTACCTCAGATCACCCGTTAACTGAATGAATTGAGAATCTCACCTAAAAAGTCCAATAACATCAGCAATTGTCATTCAAGCAGCTGATTTCTGTAAATAAATGCAAAACTAAATGTATATTGCAGCATAGGGCGAAGTCAGGATCCGTCAGCACCGATTTGAGACAAAAATAATTTAAATTGTATATAAAACTACGTAAATGGCGCTCTGTGGCGCAGCAGGGTTTTGAACACGGTCCTGAGCCGTTGCTGGGCGCCGCGGACAGACGCCGAACGGCGCCGCCGGTGTGTGTACACTCATAGAGAATAATGTGTTCGAATTTTAAAGACGATGCGCTGCGCGACGCGCCGCTACGCTTCTCGTCCGGTGTGCGACCTACTTTACTGGAGTTCCACAACTATTCAAACACTATGTTTTTCTCTCCCGCCACCGGAATGTGCGTGTCTGAGGTAAAAGGGACGGAGGCAGTGGACCAATGCACTGTGAGGCAAGGGAGGGGGGTCTCAAAATGTTTAGAACGCTTTTTTCGTAATTGCCCCGTTTGCATTTGTGTTATTTTATTTCTTAATTATTTTAAGAATATATCATTACATTATTTACAATACACATATTTTAATGGTTTTTTTCGGGGGGACAACCCTCAGATAGGGGGGGTCCTGACCCCCCCGACCCCCCCGCGATTTCCGCCTATGAGTGTGGGAGTTATTTAGAACTCCCAAAGGGGGAATTGGAGAAATACAAATTTGTCAAATGTTTAATTTAGGTTTCCACTCCAATGGTATAAAAACTGATAAAGTCTCCAGCGAGAGTCTCCTTTCCTGATAGTCCTGTTTTTTGATTGGATTAGCTATAAGGGAGACTTCCACCTTTTGTCTTTAATGGCTCTGGGATGGCTCTTTGGAACCAGAGTTCCTGCCACCATCAGCATTTGAATAGTTATGCTGATTCAATCGGATTGGTAATGGCCTCAGAGTAGGGTGTGTTCCTAATTCATTTGCATGCTTTGTTTCAGTTTCTCCCCCCCTCAATGTAAACTCCTCCCCTCTAAATGTATAAATTGTAAGGGAATATTTTCCCTTAGTGAGACTATCTTAGACTATCTTAGACTATCTTTGAGATGACTACAGCTACGCAATAAAGAACTTCTGCGTGTAAGATACCTCAAGAGTCTCCTGGTCTGTTGCGTGGAAGAAGAATAAAACTTCACTACAATGATGTTGCAGTTAAAATGCAAAATTATTATCATGTTTTCACAATTACAATTGCATTTACAGACACAGTACAGAAAAAGTTTCCGGATGTTCCGAAAAAATTCATCAGGGCAGCACTGAGAGAGAAGTTAAATGATGAGCACAAGTTACGAGTAAGGTAATAATTTGTCACACACACACACACACACACACACACACACACACACACACACACTCTCTCTCTCTCTCTCTCTCTCTCTCTCTCTCTCTCTCTCTCACACACACACACACACACACACGTTTTAATCCCCCCCCCCTGTTTTTTTTTCAGGAAACCAGTTTAGAGGCTTCAACTAGAGCAACATTTGGCTGCATGCATGTGAATTGGACTCCGCTTCTCTCTGCGTTGACAGTAAAATAAATAAAATAAAAAATTTGTGATAATACATTGTTTGTTGTGAAGTTATTTCCCCTGCGTGATTCCAGAAGAAGACAACTTGGAAAGTCCTGCATAATTGCATGTATATCCTGCACAACAGTCCTACAGGAAGTTTGAAAATTATATTTTAAATCCTGCAGGATATAATTCCTGCAGGATATAATTCCTGTGTGTTTTCCTTCATAAAATTCCTGCAGGTATTCCTTCAGGAAAATGAGCTGAAAATCCTGTAGGAAACCTGCATAATATTCCTGCAGGATTCCTGTAGGTTATTTTTGTAAGGGTGCCGTCGGGCTCTGAGAGTTAAAGGAGGAATAAATCTTGAAGAACTTACGTTACTGACAGGAGTGTGTGTTTTGTCTGCAGGTCAAAGCAGAAGTTGTGTGGAATAACACACAGACTGACAGATGTTTCACCAGTTTCCACTGCCGTGTTTAAAGAGCTCTTCATTCACTGCACACACTGGAGAAACACACATCTTAAAGCTTGTTGATCTAACGGAGGAAATGCCTGAGATTACACACACACACACACACACACACACACACACACACACACTATTTGATCCAACGTGTGGAACTGGAATTACCTTAAACACACAATTCACTCACAAATAAACTTATTTGTCCATTTTCCCAATTTAAACGCATTTCACCTGGGAAGACAGATGATGAAGTTTACGATCATCATCAAATGAATCTCAAGAACCTGAAATGGAAACTGGATCCGGCAGAACCTTAAAGAAAACTTTCAAACCTGCTTTAAACAATTCCACCTTAATTTCTTTAGTTTGTTCTCCACATAATCAAGCACACTAGAGAGTCAGCAAGCTGAACAACATGTGCTAACGTTTGAGCAAAGGCTGAAACACAAAGACACAATAATTCCCACATGAGACGACATGATCTGACCGGGAATCAGACTGAAGACTGAAGACGCTGCTCATCAGGAGATGATGATGGTGTGTATGAGCTGCTCTGCTATGAAGGTAGATTTGTGTCTTTATTATTCAATCAAAAAAAATGTTGCTTCAATCAAAAAAAATATTTTCAATTAAAAAAACCTTCA